GTGGGTGATTGGTTGAATCCGATGTCCCTTAAATTGTCCCATGTCTCTTAAATTGGAAATCTACCTTAGCATACTTGGTGGAGTGCATAGTGGTTTGAGTCGGCAGTAGCGGGACTGATTGAAAATTGCGGTAACTATGCATAGTGGACCTCAAAGGCGAGGTAGCTTGGCTACCAAAACTTCACGTCAAGTAGCGTCAACGCCGACTACCGGTAAGACTACTGATAGGTAGAAGGTTCCCCACGTGCACTAGCTGATGTGAGTTTATTCGGGATGGGGGGATGGGGCACTCATAAAGGGCCAAAAATACATTCCATTAGATAGACTAATTACTCTGCGCACTTCGAAACAAGGGCAATATTTTGCGAGTAATGTGTTATTCGAAGTTTGCTGCTATGATGAAGACCGCAACACAGGCAATATTTTGCGTGTTATCCGGTCTTCGTCATAGCAGCAAGCAACTAAAAACACTATAATTCTTATCAGTGGTAGCTCGATGAATATATTCCATTATTGACCCCGTCGTTGCAAGCAATCCGCTCCTTTCAAATGAGTTTGGTTGACACTATTGTTGAGCCACCTTTTTATATGCTGTGATTCTGCTTATAAGCACATAACGCACACATAAACAACTGCCACAACGAAGCACTACTAGCATTAACGGCTTGGACGCTCACATATCTCAGCAAGTGGTCAGTAAAGTTCGGTGTTTTCATTCAAGACGTAGCGGGTTCAAATCCCGCAGGTGACCGTAATTTTTACATTTTATCCTTTTCGAGTTTGTAGTACAGCATTGAAGGTTGAGTTTGTCCTACAATTCTACCGGTATTACCACCAGCTTGATGAAGCTGGAGTCAAATTGGAGGCACAAAGTTTAATTCACACATAAATCGACGAACTCGCTGTGTGTGAGGTCGTCGTGGAGGCTGCATGGTCAACCTTCGTCCCAATCAGGTTTATCACTAAAAGCCCCAAAAGTTTGAATTTCCCTATTTTATTGATCTGAATAAGAGCAGGGAAATCCCGAAATACCTTAAGCTTGTCGACGGCCCGATGACGAACCACCCATTATGAGATGGAATTGTTCAAGATTGTACTGTAGTACACACATTGCCTTGAAGAACGAGCTCACAATACGGAACTATGTGATAGTCCGTTAAATGAATTTGCTCCATGTTTTCATCTACCGATATGGGATGCTGGTGGAGCATTGGCTTCGCAAGCAGAAGGTCCTTGGTTCAATCATCGCTGCACTACCTTTTTTATACAGTTTTTCAAACGCTTTCACGGGCACATCGGCAAAACATGCATCATGTGGAGGTCTGCATTCGTTTAGAGCAGGATGAATAGTACCGTTGTTAAAACTTAAGCAACCAAGTCAGCTAGCATAACATACTCGCCACGTAGCGCCATGACGTTATCCCCATCACCTTGATCACGGGTTGTGGTAGCAGTGACACCACCAACTGACGAGCGAATACGATGCGGCGTTATCCTAACTACTACCTTTGTCGACCCCATCTCTTTGTCGACTCCATCCCCATACGTGACGTCACCCCAACCATTCACTACCCCCTTATTCGAGTGGGATCCAAGACCTCAGTAGCCATACCGTATACTGTACTGTAGTTGTGCTGATTAGAAACCAAACAGCACTCACATGATGCTGTATTCAGCTTGCAGCAGTCCTGTGATATGCAGGGCACGGCTATGTTTAGTTTAAATACTACGTAGTATGTACTAGTAGTGTTCATTTTATCTGGCTTGTGGCTAAAACATCAACTGACGGCGTCGCAGTATCATCAGATACCGATGTAGACTTGCAGCGGTCCTGATGCCGCCTCCTCACATTTTCACCATTTTCACCATTTTCACATTGATATCAACATACACGACCAAACTCACCACTACTAACATCAGTACACGTTTCCCAATAACAACTATAACTAACGTTAGTCCCCTTCCACGGCCATTGGCCTTCATATCACTACGACAGCGCCTGACACTAGTACCTATGCCTCTGTCACCGTTAACTCAGTACTATTCTAACAAACTGTGCATGTGACCATTACTATCGCCACTACGATTCCCCGGTTAGCTTCACCGCTGCACTGGCAACCACATAATCGTTCCTATATATTGTAATCCATCAATCTCTTGGATCAGTGGTCGTGCTCACCGGTGTCACCGCTAAGGGATGCCCACCAGTTCAAGGATGAGTGATTTTGGCCAAGGAATGGCCGAGGTATAGTAGTTTGTGTGTGTTGTAGTGCCGCCATAATCGGTAGCTTACACAAGTTGGTCTGTCCATGTGTATGAGGGACTGGTAGCACCGCTGAGGGCATCACTCAGCGGTGACACCAGTCCAAGAATAAGTGGTTTTGGCCAAGGAATGGCTGAGATATACTAGAGTAGTTTGTGTGTGTTGTGGTGCTGCCATGGTCGGCGGTGCGAGGTGTTCGGCACGGACGTAGGGACGTTAGTCTGTCGCTGTGTATGTGGGACTGATGTCACCTCTGAGGGCACCACTCATAGCAGTGGTGACACCAGTCCAAGAATGAGTGGTTTTGGCCAAGGAATGGCCGAGATATAGTAGTTTATGTGTGTCGTGGTGCTGCCCTGGTCGGCGGCACAGGTCCATGAATACGGATAGGTCGAGGTAGAGTAATACAAAATGCATCTATGATCGCGTGATCATGTGGGCTTCACGCTTACTGCGTAGTAACTTACAGAGAAAGCTGTTGGATTATTTGCGTGGTCTACATGAAATTATTTTTTACTGGAAATTATATCACGTGCAAACCGTCCAAATTGGCGCACGTAGATGGAAACACGTGAAATACACCGCTTAAATATAACCACGTGCATGCACGCCAAAAACCACGTGTAAAAATTCTACACCCGCCAACAACAGTCCTTTTGCCACTATGGATTCCTTGGTCACCTTCACCGCTGCCACTATCCTACGACTGATGCACCGGTGACTACGAGGTGTTGTCATAGATGCAGCAGTCGTGGGGACAATCGCAGGCGCCAGGGACATCAGTCGTGGTGATTGACACCTCACTCGTGACCACAAAACGGCTGTATCAGTGACCACGACCTTATAATGTTGAGGTCGTGGTCACCGATGCAACCGCTGTGTTTATAGGTGTAGTGGTCGTGACGTTAGATAGTTGTTCGTCACTGGTGTACCGGCCATGGTCATGGGCGTGGTGAAGCATAGGACGACGTTGTGCGAGGACAGTCGGTAACTACTGTAACATTGTATTACTAGTATCAATCAATTTTTGGTCACTTACAGAGTCTTACAGTTAATATAAATTGATGTTTGATAGCTTGTCATCATATATGGTCTCGTTAGTGCGACGGTAAAGTCACGGCTGAACAACACAGTGCCCCGGGTTCGAGCCCCCACAGAAGTCCTTGTTTTTCATAGTTACATCAATTTTGGTTCCTGCACTGGTTTGAACCTTGCACATTCTATCCACCCCCGGTTGCTATGTCTGCCGACAAACAATACTCCAAGACCTGATGTATCCTCTTATTTTCGATGTTACCCGACCCAATCAGATATCACTGGGATCAGGTACAAACCACTTATAATCGACAGGGTGGATGTCATTTACACTATCTCATTGCTTAACGATTTCATCACGTTACCCAGTCTCAATCGTGAGTACAACACTACAGGTTGGTACACACAGCGGGTCAATGTGATATAGTACCTCGCACGAATTACCATACTACTGTAGCAGTTGAAATTGAAATTACGCGGTATTTTCAAGCTCTATATCGCCCGAGCGCGCGCATATGCAGCTACACCCGCGAACTAAACTAATCTAGCGGATGGAGCTTGTGCACGTTCACACCAGGGTGGTTCGTGCAGCGGCCTCAGTCTGTCAGGCCTTCATTATTGTGCGGTGTGCAGTGGGACGTGTTTGGTCGGTGTTGCTATAGTTGTTGGTGCCTTTCAGGCCTTTTGTCCGGGGGTCGGCGCGGTGGTCTGCGTCGTCGCGTTAGTGTAGCGATTCGTTGGGCGTGTGGTGCGGCGGAGCTACCGAGAAGGGCTGCCCAAACCATGTGTCTATTTTAAGGGTCCAGCGGACTATCGCTTGGCGTAGGTTTGTGTCCAAGGCGACCAGGGTGTCGTCGTGAGCCTGGGGGCGCTGTTTGATGCCGGTGTTGACCGCTTGTGCTAGTGCGGTATCGCCGTCCTGTGCGGTAGCTAGGTATTGTTCGTGGCACGTGTGGGTCCAGTACGCGTGTAGTGTAGTCCAATGGGTAGTGAACCATCGGCGGTGAAAGTCTTTGCCGAGGCGTGGGTTGAGGGAGACTGCGCTGGCCCATTGTAGGGTGTTCTAAGTCATAGTCGGAAGTCGTTGCCACGTGGCCGGTGCCCGGTAGATAAGGGGAAAACTGGCTCGCAGCCAGCTGTACACATCGTGGCACGTCAGGTCTTCTGGGTCGCCGTCGGTATCGGCATCCTAGCGGAGTGCATGGATGTAAGCTGGTGGGGGGCTGGGGAGAGTGTTGCGCGGCGGATTTATGAGCCACGTCATTTGGCCCCAGTGCTGAAGTCTTTGGACCCCGTCTGTCGGTAGCGTGCTGGTGCTGGTGTCCGGTGACTCAATGTACCCCAATAGGGTGTCCACATTGTTCGTATTTGTCAGCCCAGCCCACCTCGGCGGCGATGAGTACGTAATTGTGGAGTGGTAGCGCATCGTAGTTGTCCCGCCGGGATGTGCAGCCCCTAATGCGTCCTGTGTGCGGTGACCGGTGGCGTGTTTGTAGCAGATACACCAGTACGCATACGGGCCGGCCATTACAGCCGTCGTTGTGATTTCTTTTGCGAGTGTCCTCTACCATTGGTCTTGTAGGATAGCATTGATCCACCAGAACCGGTGACCTGGTGCCGGGGCGTCGTCCTTTCGTGTACTGCAGCTATCCCAGGGGCCGTTGTATGTACCCGGTTGGTCCGTGCCCATTTGTTGTACGAGTCATATCTCGCGAGGTGCCAGAAGGGGTTGCACGGATAGCGCGGTACGGCCCAGCCATCGTGGTGTGATGTACCCGTATTGGCCGGCGGGGAGTTGCATGTTTTCCCACCGTACTTGGGAAAGAAGTTGGCAGGTGGAGCTACCGGCGAACGGAAGCTGCGTAAATCGGGAGAGGTGGAGCCCATGCATGTGCCTGGAGCCGGTGAGCATGATCATGGGTTGGTATGGTGTACCGTGGGTGGGCCGTTGCCGTTCATTTTCGTGCCATGCCTCGGCCAGTGGTAAATCGAACGTAATTGCCATTTCTTGAGCCATCCGTGGTGGGTATATGTGCTGGTCCGGTAGCCAGCTCATCGTGCATGTTTGATGCAGTCGGTGTTCGAGACGGCTGTCGAGGTGACCGGATTCCGAGCATGTCGGTGCCGAGATCCCAACGGTGGCCGACCGTGTCGCGCGGGTTTTCATAGCAGAGTCGGCAGTGCGGACCCCAACGGCCGTCCAACCGGTGTTTCGCTGCGTTGGTGTGTAGTGTCATCGCGATAGTCCGCCAGTAGAACCGGGTGAGGCCCCTCGTCCAGCCGCACGTTCTCGGCGTTTCGAGCCCGGTGGGAAGGATAGTGCGGCGGTCCGTGGGGTAAGCCGCTTGGTTGCTTAGCCAACTGAGTGTGTTGCCCATGACCGGGCGGCCGTTGTGGTCGATGAGTTCCAAGTATCGAGTATAATGGGAAGCGTTTGTGGGAGGGACATAGCAATGTGATGGGCCTCCGTAGCCATGGTGTCCAGTGCCGCGAGTGTCACCCGTTGTGCTTGCAGTTGCCGGTCAGTGGTACGTTCATGTTCCTGGTGAGACCGGACCCAAACAGTACAAAGATCCGCGGGGACGCATCACTGACATGAGTCCCCGGAGTTCGCGCGGAAAGGGTGCTCTAGTGGATCGGCCACGGCTTCAGCATCCGTCGGCGTGCGGTTCGGTGGATGGCCCCAGCGCTCGTATTGTCACATATCTGTTCGCCGAGGTCACGGGCGAGAACGTTGCCAGCTATGATCGCGTGAGTTTCACAACGTGTTGAAGAGATCCTCGTGGTTGCAGTACGGGCGGCCGTAGACGATGGTCGCGCCATGTTTCACTGCCCAGCTACCTTGTGCCGTAGGTGTACCCCCGCACTGCCGTCCCCGGCCGGTACGTTAATAGGTCGGTTGGTGTGGCCCTGCTGTGTCGAAAATGACTGTTGGTGTAGTTTTTGCCATGGAGAAGGAAGGGTGGTATCGCACTCAGCAGGCGCGCAGTGTGCATGATGCACCCGGTGGCACCTAACGCACTCAGTTAACCCCGGGGACGAGAGCAGTATGTGCAGAGTCCAGCGTCGGCTGCCCCGTGTGCCTGTTCGATTCGGGCCCTGTCCTGTCGGTATGTGTCCAGAACAATATGCCGTGAGTTGAGACGAGTACGGTCACCGCAGTGGGAGTCCGTCCAGACGAGCACCGTGGTCGTGCGCATCCGCCGCGGCGAGTAGGTGCTCTGAATAGGCGTGCAGTTGGAGGCGTGTTCCCATCGCGTCCGGCCGCGCCAGTGTTGTGGCCGCGGTGCCGACCAGATACCGGACCCCCTCCGGTTTTCGTACCAGTTGGAGATCGTAAGCTGGATACTGGAAGCATCGGGGCGTGTGGCCAGAGCCGTCCGTTGACCGATGACATAGCTGAGTTTGTCCGGCGAGTTCGGCCAGGTTAGCAGCACCGCCCTGAGCACGTGGCCATACAGTGGTGTATCGACGTAGTTGCCCATAGCCGTGGCCGGCCTTGGCGAGCGCCCTACAGGCAGCCGGAGCCTGCGTGATCCCGGTAGAGTAGGTAGTGCCTGAAGGATGCGCCGCAGTGTGAGGACCGCTAATGTGTCGTCGTCTTAAGACATATGTCCCATCGATGTTGCAGACGTCCCCGACGTGCCGGAGTTGCCATGGGAAGCGTCGATTAATGGTCATGAGGGCACCGACTTGTTGTCCGTTCAGCAGCGGGAGGATGGGCCGATCGTTGAAGCTCTTCGGCGCCTGCCACTTGGGTGAAGTCCATCGCGCCACTACCCCGCAAGTGGCCGCGTGTTTCGCGAGGAGGCCGAGCATTGTACCAAGGAACGACGTGTCGGCCGGTTTCATCTGTGTAGGGTGCGCCAGTGGGTGCGTTGTAAGTCCGTGACGTTTAGCCCAATCTTCGAGCGCCTCCATCATGACATCATACACCGGGCTACCAGTCGTGTTGCAGTTGCGGAGTACGCGTGTATTCGCGCCACCTCACTGTGGGTTTCACATGCTCGGAGACCAAGCCCATGGACCGTGTCGTAGTAGAACGCCCGTGGTGTGCATTAGGGATGCCGGAAATTGCGCCATGCTGTCCGTCCTATGAGAGTATCGAAGGCCGATGCGACGTGGATGGCCGGACTGAGCGTCGTACGGTAAAGTACCCGTGGCAACCACACCGAGTTGACGAGGTATTGAAATTGGCGCAGTGTTAATTGGCAGGCGGCTGCGCGGTGAACGTCATGTTTTAGTTTCGTCCAGGTGGCGCTGATTGTGATGTCCCACGTACCACTAACACCTTGTTGTATACCGAGGTGCTTGAACCCTTCCATCGGTGGTGACCGGTTGGGGCAGACCGAGGCCGTCCTTGAGGTCGACTGTGCGGTATTGCTGGCCAGTGGGGGAGTAATACATCATGAACGATTTCGCCGCCCCGAATATATCCCCGGATCCGTGAATGCCTGTGAAGATGTTCGATGTTGTAGAATGGTGTTGGATACCGGTGTACGAGGTGGCAATGTCTAGTGCATTATCGACGAAGAGCGTACTATTGATGACGCGTCAGACCAGCGCGCCGTCCGGGCTTTGGTGGTGTAGGATGTTGACGCCGTCGAGCCCTTGCTGTTGACAGCATTGGAGGATGTCCATATATGCATGACCGCGAATATCGATCCCTGGCCGAGCCGAAATTCCCGGGTGCCCCCGTCTAGCCAGCCGAAAGCAGTGCTGATGTCGATTTGCCCCGTAGTCAGAAAAGATACTACTGTAGCAGTAGTACTTGCAGTTAAATTCAAATACCAACACTACTTGCGCAAAGAAGTGCAGTGTATTATTATCGTTTTCACACATACTTTTATTTGAAGATGAGGTTAGCGCAACAAGCAGATAGGTTGAGCATGAATATGAATATATGCCTTCAACTTGATGAAGTTGCGGTTAGAGGTATTAAACTCAAGACAAAGAGATTAAAAAAAGAATGAGTCAAATCCGACAACAGGTTAAAAAGTTAACCTCCCGATCGCCCAAACGTACAGTACTGTATGTAGGTGTCCCCAGTTTGAATTGGTTGTCACAAATCTTGTACTCTAGCAGTTAAATACGATTTTTGAACACAGGGCATCGTTAGTGTGTCGGTTTGATTCCAAGTTGTAGCAGCATCGCTTTGATCATTTCTTTTTGCCATAATTATACTCACGTGGCCGACCATTGATGTGCCGATTGTCCATTGATGTGCCGACTTATTCATTCAATCAAACCCTAAATCGATTTTCATTGGACATAATGCAACTGGTAGACAAATGATACCTGTATAAAGTCATGCTACAAACCCTAACATTTGTGTTTAAAAGTTCTTCTATACATGATACCTGTTTAAATTGTATAAACCTTTATAAAATGGTAATCGTATGTTGTTGAAATAGGTTGAAACTTTCGTTTTCAATACATAACTCAAGTATAAAAATCGGCACATCTATGGTCGCCCTGTGTAAAGTACTCAACTTCAAAAATTAATTGTGCAATCCTAAACTGGCTAACAGTAAATCGATATATTTTGGGCTCATCCGAAAGCGCTCAACGTTATCCATCCAAAAATGTATGTATCAAGGTATCAAGGGAGGATTCGAAAAAACAACTGAAATATTCGAAAATGAAAATGAAGAAAATTCGGCACATCAATGGTCGGCCACGTTACGGTTGTTTTTGTGAACCTCCTAATTTTGATATCTTTGTATAAAACAGTTTTATACCTAAAAATTGAATTCGAAAGGTATTGGCTGATTGGCTCAACCGCTGCTTTTTGCACAACTACTATGGTTCCAATCCGTACAACGTGTATACGTCGTTGAATGGATCCCTATTACCTGTTCCTCTCGCCCTGCTAGTGGTTCATAAAGTGGCGAAAACGACGCAAAAAGTAGAAAGTATAGGGGAGCAGCTTTATAACCTCATGAGGCACAGCCTCATCCGCATATTATCCGGAATTATCCTTGTCGTACCTATTTATCCACCGTATACCTTAGAGCATCTGCACCGGCACCAGTAAATTTCACCCCATTATCCGGATAACTTGTTCGGATATGCGAGTTACTGGCGCCATTAAGTCCAAATTTTACTGGCCTCGTTTTGGTTTCGCACCGCAGTGAGTATTTTACTGGCCTCGTTTTGGTTTCGCACCGCAGTGAGTATTAATAAAACAACTTGCACTTACTTCGTGGTGGATCGACTTACCAGTGCATGCAGAGACCATCACCTGTTCTATAGTATTGGAAATTTTACCTTTGTTCTCATGCAGCAATCAGCTTGTCATTCGCAATACCGCTGTGCGTATGCGGGAGTACAGTTTTGTAGGCTGCAGTTACTCCGCATAGAAACGACTTGCAATTTGATCGTTTCCGACGATTGCATCGAGCGAGGCACTCAGCCATGCGTGATACAGCTGCACCTGCTCATGTGGTGCGAAGTTTTGGGAGCGTTCCTTCATTGCCTGTTTTGCTTATAAGATATAGTAGTCTTAGCATGTATAGTAAACCATTTGTGCCTACAGCTAACGGACTTCACATACGCCGACCGTTAGACGTATGAGGGCATCTGGCAACGATCTGCTTGGTCAGCACCATTCACTGGGTTGGGTTCGCGGCGGTGGAGTGGAGGACCTGCAGGTCGGCGAGGCATGTAAGCGCTAGAGCTCGTCGGAGGCGGCTTTGAGGAAAGCGTTGGTCGCGAGGCGGCGACGAGATGGGACGGCCGGGCCAAGGGTCAGCGACGGATAGATGAAGCACCGGAGCATGGACTCGTAAGCCGCAATATCGGCGGCACACCGGGGGATGCGTCCAAGGAGGCCCCAGGGGGAGCAGGTCAGGTGCCACAGTTGTTGAGGAGCACGGGGAGCACTTAGCCGTTGTACAGGCGCAGCCGTGTCGTCTCGTGGATGACCTCGCGGCGGAACCAAAGGTACCACATGTTGTGGAAAGCGACGCGGACCAGGCCTTTGCGGTGGATACGACGGCGGAGTCACCAAGGAGCTTGGAATACCAAAGCCACGAATCGATCGAGTCACAGATGAATGGAACAAAGCCACGCAATCGATCGAGTTCACAGATGATTATGATTGGCCAGTTGACTTACTGGAGTCCAGTACTCCAACAAAAATTCCAACAAATTTACTGAAATATTTGTTGGAGTAGTGGGTGACTGCCAAATATCTCGCAAGTGCCTCTCGCAAACAAATTTGCGAGTCCGGATAACGTGTATTTTTTTAACCGACGTCGATGGGTGGCAATCGAGGCACTCCACGACTTGGCTCGACCTGCCTTCGTTACCCGGTGAGATTGCGAGAAAATTTGTGCACGATGCCAAAGCCTTTGAAAATGTATTTCGATCATATCATATTTTACAGTGTCGATGCGAGAGGTTCGCTTGCAAATGCAATGTTTGCGAAGACGATTTTTTCGTCTTCACAAAATGCGAGCGTGGTTCTATTTCAAAAATGTCTCAGATTCAACCGGAAGAAAATTTGTTTTGCGAGATATTTG